AGATAGATAGATAGATAGATAGATAGATAGATAGGGTGGGGGTGTGGGGGTGGGGGTGTGTGTGTGTGTGTGTGTGTGTGTGTGTGTGTGTGTGTGTTTGTGTGTGTGTGGTTTTTTTTTGTGTGTTTTGTGTGAGTGTGTGTACTCGTATGAGCAATTTGATAATTTGTTTGGATAATTAATGCTATGAAAAATGTACGTGTGTTCGTTTTCCATAACCGTGTATGTTCCTACTTTTGCAACTTTTCACCTACCCTTCCGACCTTCCCCAGGTGAGATAGGAGACTGGAAGAACACGTTTACTGTAGCCCAAAGCGAGCGGCTTGACAGCATCATCGAGTCAAAACTCAAGGGTTGCCAGATGTTTCGTTTTGTCTACTCCCCGTGACGTAGAAAGCAGCACTTGATGACTTACAGTGCTTGTGGCTGTAGCTACGGAGGGCTGGGTGACTATTATGGCCGCCATTTCCACTTTTACTGATACACATGCAGGCGGCATCGAAAAGAAGGGAAGAAAAGGAGTTTTTGGTTAGTCTCTTCTTGATGTTGCAAGTCTACAACCACTCCCACCCCCCTTTCAACCTCAACCGCTCATTCCCACCCAAGGCATCATCAAAAGACACATTTCCAGAAGAAGTGACGACAAAAAGAACTGTAATACTTAATTATAGGAATCCAACCAGATTCCCAGCGGGGTTTTTTCCCCCTCAAAAATGTTTAATAAATGCTGTGCAATGTATTAGGGAATGCCTTATTTGTATTTTACTACTTTTCGAAAGTTCAGGAACTGGGCGATTTTTAAAAGTGCAGGAACTGAAAGTGCTTATATGCACAGTCTTCACATAATTTGGTTATAAATGTATACTAATATTATTACCACATCTATTGTCTTTTCGGTGTTCTGGTCTCTTTAATATGATCTTCTTTTCTGCATTTATTTGAGCAATGTTACAATTATGAAGGGTGTGCCGACAGCTCATCTGGTATCATGCTGGACTATGGTGCTGATGGTTGTGGTTTGAAACCCTTTAGGGGTGTTCTAATGTGTACGTATAAAGACCTAGAGAAAGATGTGCTTTGGGGGGG